ACGTGCAGCAGCTCCGAGGACGCCAGCGCCCAGAAGGTCGGAGGCTGTATGTCGGTGTTGCACTCGCCCTCGATGAGGATCCCGCGAGTGCCGTCCGGCACGCTGCAGAACCTCGCGATCTGGAAAGAAGCTGCCCCGTCCCTCGTCGACTGGGGGAACAGGCAGGGCTGCCTGTAGAGGGCGCAGGCGTGCGTGTGGTTGAAGACGTCCACTGCCACGCAGCCGTCTGTCCGCTCGCAGAGGCCCTTGCAGCTGTTGAGGCTGTGGCTGCCCCGCTTCTCGAAGGCGCCGTCGGACCCGTCGGCGTTCCGCTCGCAGCCGCGGCTGTAGCTGATGGTAGAGGAAGAGAAGACGGCATAAACATGAGCTTTCAAAGTCCGCACGGAGTTGTTGGATCGACGCTGACCCCCCCCACGCGCCAGGAGCGGCGCTGGAGACGCCGCCAGGGAGGCCCAGCGCTGATCCGAGAAAACCGCGCGGAGCTCCGAAAGTTTACGCAGATTCTCTCGTAACGTTTCGCTAGAACGTTCTACGGGAGGCAAACGGAGTCACAGGGAGCCCAAGGACGTTTGGTCCAGCAGCCGTTGCGACAACCGTTTCGCCTGAGATGTCCTACCAATTTATTCCAGAATCGTGCTCTCGCAGCAACGCTGGCTACATGCTTGGTCCGAACGGCCACCACCCCGTTCGAAGGAAAACACTGAAGCGCACATGGCCGCAGAGTTCGTGGAGCAATCGGGCTCTCGGCCCAGTGCCACTTACACTTGTGGTCGGGACGGCCACGACCCCCTGCGAAAGCCAATGAACTGCACGTGGCCGAGCCCTCGCCCCTGTCCGGACCACACGTTTCCTGCAAGCGCTTCGCTTGAAAACGTTCCCGGCCTGGCAGCCGGTCCAGCAGCGGGTGCGGCAGCCGTTTCGGCTGAGACTTTTCTTCACAGCTCCTTGCTTGTCCACATCTCGAGTTTGTCTCGATACTGAAGACTAGCGCTCCTGATCATTCCTATTCGAAGTCTTCTTCTTCGTACATCTCTGAGCTTCGGACTTGCGCGCCGGTGCCGGCTGCATCTTCGGCCCAGACGGCCACGCTCACGCGCCACAGAGCTGAAATGCACACTGCCCCGTCTCGAGCCTCCTACTCTTCGGTCCGGACGGCCACGACCCCGCGGAAAAAAAATCACCACGGCGCCCGCGCCTGCTGTGTCCCTGCTGCGTTCCTGCTCATCAACAGCTGTCACGTGTGCGGAGCTCTACACTGTCAATGCCGCGCTTTCCGGTGGCTTTGCTGCGCTCCTGCTCGCAGCGCACACCGCCAGAGGCGGCGGAGAGCTTGAGAGATCCACCTACCAGAAGCACCACGGAAGCTCTCCGAGTCGGCATTCTCCACGTCGAGGCAGCCTGCGGGGCCTGCGCAGGGCACTGCGCCCGCGCGCGGCACGAGAGCCTGTGCCGGGGAAGCCTCCCTGGCGCAGGCCGCGCTGCCCACCGCACCCCCCGGAGGCGCAGCACGAGGCCCGGGGCGCGGGATCGCGGGGTCCCGGGATAGCCCCCAGCGAAAGCGCCCCCAGTGACAATATCACATATATATGTGTATATATCATATGGATACACATATAAATATATATATATATGTATATATATATATATATATATATATCACGGAGCTCCAGACAAACAACAAAACGAAACAAACAAAACGCAAATACAAAATCATGTATATATATATATATACATGTAAAAGATTGGCGGCGCGCACAAGGGGGTGGGGGGAGGGGGGAGAGCTTCTTAGAAGGAGGCTGCTTCTCAGGAGTCGCCAGCCTTACATCTGTAGATAAGGGCCGCGCCTTCTACGAAGCAGGGGTGCTTTCTAAGAAACCCTCCCCCCTACCCGCGCCCCCCTCTGCGCGTGGCTGATATAACACGGAGCTCCGAATACAAAAAAAACTGGTTTTGTAAAGAGAAGCAGTGGTCGAGCGAAGAGTGGTCGCGCACAAGACGACTTGCGCAGGAGAACAGAGCGAGAGAACGCGAATCGAGGCCCAGAGCCCAACAAAGAGCCCAGTCAAGACCGACCGCACAAGACATCCCGCACAAAAACCTCGCACAAGACCTCTGGGACCACTCCCTCTGTTAGAAAGAGTTCTATTGAAAAAAATATATTTATTTATATATATATATATATTAAGAATGTAGATAAATAAATAAATAAACACATTTAATATATATATATATATATATATAATACCCCAAAAAACACACAACAAAAAAAAAAAAAAAAAAAAAAAAAAAAAAAAAAAAAAAAAAAAAAAAAAAAAAAAAAAAAAAAAAAAACGCTGGTGTTCAAAATCCCGCACGGTTGCGCAGAGGTCCCGCGTCCCGAGCTACGCATCGCGTCGTGGAGCTTTCGGAGCGCCACCCGGGGGCCCACCGTCGACACTTCCACCACCGTCGACACTTCCATCACTTCCATCACCGTCATCTACCGGAGGGGTTCAGAGGCTGCCAGAATGTGGCCGCTCTTGCTCGCAAGGGCGGTGTCTGCTCTTGTTGGCTACACGCAAGAGTGACCCTGAGCAAGAGCGACCTCTAGTGCGCGGATCGAGGGGGCTGAAGCTGGTCAACTCCAAGCGCGCAAGCAGCCACTATCGCATCGCACTAGACGATCAGGGGAGCCCCAATGAGCCCGCACCAAAGGTCACTCCTGCGAAGGGTCACTCTTACATGTAGTCGATCCTGACCAGGCGAAGCAGGCCCCCTCCTGTCCCCCGTCCAGCGCACGCTTTGGCGGCGGGGCACGCGCGCGCCGCGGAGATCCGCCCGCCAGGCGGGCCCAGACTCTGGAGTGACGTCTGGGGGCCCGCGTCTGGTGGCTGCTGAAGCCTGGACTTGAGAGCCTCAACGAAGCCTCTACGTTGGCCGAGGCTCCTCGACGACGACGACGACGACGACGACGAGGACCCCTTTCATCACCTGCAGCATGGGCGTGTAAATGCAAAGCTGGACTAGGGAAGCGGCTGCAAAGTGCACGTGGCCGTGTCTCGACCTCCTTCTCCTCGGACGGGACAGCCACGATCCCCTGAAACAAAGCGCGAACGTGCACATGGCCTCGTCACAACCTCCCACTCCTCGGTCAGGCCGGCCACCACCCCTCGTACAAAAGAAACACACACTGCGGTGCACACGGCCGTGTCTCGACCTCCTACTTCTCGTTCCGCCTCTTCACCCCTGCTACTATGAAGGTGCCTTGCTGGGGTAGTGCCGTTTGCTCTTCCTCGAGATGGGTATCCACATGGGCCTGCTGAGCGGCCCGTAGGCGAATATGCCCGCCGTAAGCGAGAGCAGCACAAGCAGCTTGCAGAACCAGGAGCACAGCAGCCGCGCGCAGCAGAGCTCCACGCACCCGCCGCGGGTCTGCGCCCTGAAGTGCGCCAGCGCCGCGGCCTTCTCCGAGGCCGCCACCGAAGACCTCGAGGTGCGAAGCCGCGCGAAGCCGCGAGAATGAGAAAGAGAGAGAGAGAGAGGAGGGAAAAACGAATGGTCGAATATGCGGAAGGAGAAGGCTTCCATACACCACCACTACCACCACCATGCCTTGCCAGGGCAGTCCTGGGCCCTGGCACGGTGCCCTGCGCCCTCCTGGCACCGCACACATCCTCCTCCTCCTCCTCCTCCTCCTCCCTCCTCCTCCTACTCCTCCTCCTCCTCCTCCTCCTCCTCATCTCCTCCTCCTCGTTAGACGCCCCCCCCACCCCCATCCCCTGGTAGAACACAGAAAACAAAGCACGGCACAAAAGAAAACAGAAGAAACGGGACGAGGTCCCAGATCTGAGGGGGCGACGAGTCGTCGCTCCAGCTGCCCTCGAGCTCCTCGTCGCTGCTCGCGGCGGGCTCTTTGCCGGCGACCGCGGGCGCGCGCGCCGCGGGCCAGCCGCGTAAGGCCGCCTGGCTCAGGCGGGTCCTCCTCCGTTTTGCTGCTCCTCCGACCCCCATTCCTCCCTCCCTCCTCTGTCCTCCTCCTCCTCCCCTCCTCTCCTCCTCCTCCTCCTCCTTTCTCCTCCTCTCATCCGTCGCCTCCGCCTTCTCCACATCCATCCTGTTCTTCCTCCTCCGCCTCCTCCTCCTCCTCATCCTCCTCACATCATACTCACACCTCCTCCTCCTCCTCCTCCTCCTCTCCTCCTCCTCCTCCTCCTCCTCTCTGCTCCTCCTCCTCCTCCTCCTCTCCTCCTCCTCCTCCTCCTCCCTCCTCCCCTCCTCCTCATCATCCTCATCGTCCTCATCCTCATCCTCACACTCTTCCTCCTCCTCCTCCTCCTCCTCCTCATCATCATCATCATCATCATCAGCAGCAGCATCATCAGCAGCATCGGCATCGTCATCATCATCGTCACCATCATCACCATCACCATCGCCATCAGCATCATCATCATCATCGTCATCATCATCATCATCATCAGCAGCAGCATCATCATCGTCAGCAGCAGCATCATCATCATCGTCATCATCATCGTCATCATCATGATCGCCATCAGCCTTACTATCTGCGTCAGCATCAGCATCATCATCATCATCATCATCATCATCATCATCCTCATCATCAGCATCATCAGCATCATCAGCATCAGCATCAGCATCAGCATCAGCATCATCATCAGCAGCAGCATCATCATCATATCATATCATATCATCATATCATCATCAGCAGCATCAGCATCGTCATCATCAGCATCATCATCAGCATCAGCATCAGCATCATCCCCACTACAGTCGCAATCAGCATCCTCAGCATCATTATCACAGTCGTCATCATCAACATCATCAGCATCATCAGCAGCATCACCATCATCATCAACAATATCATCATCAACATCACCATCACCTTCACCATCACAAACACCATCAGTGTCACTATCATCATTACCAGCAGCATCCACATCATCATCATCAGCAGCAGCATCAGCATTACCATCATCATCATCATCAGCAGCAGCATCATCAGCAGCATCAGCATAATCAGCATCAGCATCACCATCACCATCACCATCACTATCATCAACATCAGCAGCATCAGCATCAGCATCAGCATTCTCATCATCAGCAGCAGCATCAGCGTCATTATCAAAACCATCATCATCAGAATCAGCGTCATCAGCATCATCAGCATCATCATATAATTGGTTATGAGTCGTCCTCAGCATCATCATAATCAATCATCAACATCGGCATCTTTATCAGCATCGTCATCAGCATCGTCAGCATCAGCATCTGCATCATCAGCAGCAGCATCATCATCAACATCACCATCATCGTCACAATCACAAACACTATCATCATCACCATCATCCTTACCATCATCGTCCACATCATCATCATCATCATCATCATCATCATCATCATCATCATCATCATCATCATCATCATCATCATCATCATCATCATCATCATCATCTTCGTCATCATCAGCAGCAGCATAATCAACATCAGCATCAGCATCATCTTCATCAACATCATCATCGGTATCAGCGTCAGCATCATCATCAGCATCAGCATAAGCATCAGCATCATGTTCATCATCATCATCGTCATCAGCAGCAGTATTATCATAATAATAATCAGCATCAGCAGCATCAGCAGAAGCAGCAGAAGCAGCATCAGCATCAGCAACATATTCACAATCATCGTTATCAGCAGCAGCAGCATCATCATCATAATCAGCATTAGAAGCATAATCATCAGCATCATCATGGCCATCATATTGTCACTATTCATCATCATCCTCATCGCAATCATCATCATCATCAGCAGCAGCAGCAGCATCAAGATCGTCATCATCAGCATCATCACCATCATTATCATCAGCATCTTCATCATCAACATAATCATCTGCATCATCATTATCATCACTATCATGGCCATCATAATCCTCAGCAGCAGCATCAGCATCAGCAGCAGCATCAGCAGCAGCATCATCACTATAATCCTCAACCTTATCCTCATCATCCTCCTGCTCCTCATCCACTTGTTCATCCCCATCACCATACTCATCATCAGCAGCATAAACATCGCCCTCATCATCAGCCCAATCCTCATCCCCATCCTCCCGCTCCTCTTCCCTCTGAGCAGAAATCGAAGAATAACGCGGGACCGAAGAAATCACATCGCCGGAGATCTGGGTCCACCCCCTGCTGCAGCCGCCAACCTCCCCCCACCTGTGAGGTGCAACGTTAGGGGGGACCAGGCCCGGAGGGGAACTTCGAGCTGGATTCGGCGATACATCGCCGACAGACCGGCGATAGGCCCTCGATAGCAAATCCGCACGCTTTCGCGAGCTGGGCTATCGGGCCCTCCTCGCCGATCAACGGGCCAATGGGGCTCGATGCATCCCCCCCTCTGAGCCTTTCCCCCCCTAGCGTTGCCCGCTGGCTTTGGGGCCACGACCTGGCGCTCGGGCGGCCGTCCGCGACGATCCGATCCGGGCACCCCTGGAGGGCTGTCGGCGAGGCGCAGCCGCCGGAAGGTACCCCGAGGCTGAAGACCGCAGAGAACCTGCGAGAACGTCCGAAAACCTCGGACCCAAGACGTCCGCCGATCTGATTTCCTCCATCCGCGGCCCCAGGGGTGCCGTTCCGGATCCGTGCGTGATGGCCCCATGGGCCCGATGACGGCCCCCGAGCGCCGAAATCTACGAGAAAACACGTGGGGGATTGAACAGCAAAAATCGCGAGCCCGTCCATGAGCCGATCCCCCGACGTCGCCCCTGACTGCTGCTGCTGCTGCTGCTGCTGCTGCTGCTGCTGCTGCTGCTGCTGCTGCTGCAGCTGCAGCAGCAGCAGCAGCAGCAGCAGTGCGGCGGCGGCGGCTGCTGCTGCTGCCACCGGCCTCCCCACGGCCGGACGCCGCCCCCGTCAGCGCCGGCGCGAGCCCGCGGCGCGCGAGCTCCCGGAGCAGCGCCTATCGGTCGGGGGGGGGGGGGGCGACCTCCACGAGGACGAGAGGGGGGGGGGGCGGAGGGAGCACAGGAGGAGGAAGAAGAGGTAGGGGACGAGCTCTGCGGGGCGGGGAGGGGGAGGCACGGGGCCCACAGGAGGAGCACTGGAGGAGGAAGAGGGGCCCGAGACGTGCTGGTGGAAATGTTCGTCTTTCATGGAAATTCGTAGCAGCAGGGAGGGGGACGAGGAAGGGGCGGATTTTCCCGGCGCGCCGCTGCCGACCAAATTCTAGAGTGCAAGAGGTGCAAAGTTTGCCTGGCGGGATCCCGCTACGTGCCTTGTGCACACTGGGGCGTGGAGGAATGCCAAAGGTGATCTAAAGGTCTTCTGTACTCTAAAACAGACAAACACATACACACGCTTTGGGCGTCGCGGCCCTGCGCGCGGCGACAGGGCGGAGACGGTCGCAAAGCAACGAACGCGCGCGCGCGACTAGGAACGCCCGAGCTCGAAAAGACCGCTTAGGGTCCCGCAGCAACGCACACACACTTTTTATCTCGGCGGCGCAAAGGGACCTCAAGCGGGGTCGGCAGATGAAGGTGCCAATTGCGAACTAACCTAGTCGAACGCGCCATGACGAAAGAGTCCAGTCACGGCCATGAAGATTGGTGATGGAAAACGGGAGGCGCTGCAATGCCGAAGTGCAGCGGCCAAAAAACCCGAGGAACATAAGCTCGACGCGGGCATTTGAAGCGCAAGCAGCAGCCTGGTCCTAATTGGAGCCTCGAAGCAACAGCAACGAAGAACTGCAAGGCTGCCAGACCAGCCAACTTGGGGGCGGTGCGTGCACGCAAAAACAACGCGACAGAGCAACGCCACAGCCCTTGCAGCGTGCAAGTAACAGATTGTACGACCGTGCAACAAATCTGCAAGAGGTCGGCGCGATGGAGAACACGCGGTCGAGGCTGGCTTAGCAGGGGACAACATAAGCGGAGTTGAACGCGGGCGACCGCGAGCGAAAGCCGCGAAAAAAGCAAACCCCAACCGCAACCACAGCCGCGAAGGGCTACCGGCTAGGCAGGTGAAAGCCCGCCAACGGAGTACGCCAACGCTCCAACAGGAGACAGACCCCCGCGGTGGGGGCGACCCGGAGGGACTAGTTCGAAGGGAAAGGGGGGGGAGACGCAGCAGGGGCAAAAGCAAGAGAGGAGCCCAGAAAGACGACGGCGAAGACCCCGCGACACGGCCGACCCGGGACCGACAGACGACAGCGAGGCGCGCGACCCCCCACGACCCAAAGGGGGTGGGGACCGACGAACCACCGCGGAGGGAGGCTGTCGGCAGAGCAAGCTGACGCGCAGCCGAAAGCCCAGCAGGGGCAGCGAGCTGCAGCCCCAGGTGCGGACGCGCACGCCCAGGTGCTGCGCCAGGAACCAACCAGCTGAGAGGCCGCGGCCATGCCGGCCCGCGCCCCGTGCGAGGGTGCAAAGCGGCAGGGCGGCAGGGCCGCCGCCGGTCTGGCTGACAGACGGAAAAGGGCGCCGACCACGAGCGGTGCAAGGTGGACACTGCCACGCGAGCAGAGAAGGGCGCAAGAAGACCAACGCCTCGGCCAGCAGGCGCGGGCAAGGCAACACCCGACGGAGCAATTACCGCAAAGCACCACGGAAGTATAGTCCAGCCAGGCGGCCGAAAAGGCCCCCCCCCCGCCTGAGGCGGCAAGGAATATGCCAGCTGGCCGAAAGAAGGGCACAGCACGGGGCTGAAGCGAGCAACCTCAGGGCGAGACCTGGAGAACACGCTCAACCGAGAAGCGGGCCGCGGCCAAGCCGGCCCACAGCCCGTGTCTGGGGGCAGGCTGCGAGGCGGCAAGGCCGACGCCAGGTCCAGAGGACAGCCGGAAGAAAGGCGCCACAACACGCGAGCGGAGCGCAAGAAGCCAGCAGCTAGGACAGAAGCGCGGGCGGCATAGGCGGGGCAAGACACGGCCGAGCACCAAGAAGACTCCCCCCG